CTTCCTTCCTTCCTCCCTCCCTCCTTCCTTCCTTCCTCCCTCCCTCCTTTTCTCCCTCTCTTCCTCTCTCCCTCTTTTTCTTTTTTTCTTTTGAGATAGGGTCTCATTGTGTAACCCAGGCTTCAAACTCCAAGCAATCTTCCTGCCACAGGCTTCTGAGTGCTGGGGTTACAGGTGTGCCCCACCACACCCAGCTCCATTTATTTATAAGAGCAAAATTTTGTAGTCATTTACATCATTTCTGTTTTTTAAATAAACCATTTTGAATTTTTTACTCAATAAATGTGTGCCTAAATCCAGAAGTAATGAAAGTCAAGTAATAAAAAATACCCAATCAAGGAAATAAATCTTATTTTTAATTAAAAACATTATTTTGTCTCTTTTGAGACAGGGTTTTGCTATGCAGCTCAGGCTGGCCTTCAACTCACTTTGCAGCATAGGCTGGCCTCAAACTCACAGCGATCCTCTTGCCTCAGCCTCCCAAGTGCTGGGATTACAGGTGTGCACCACCATGCTGGGCTTATTTTTGTTTCATTTTTGAGACAGAGTCTTTCTATAGAATGTAGTGTAGGCCAGGCTTTAACTTGTTACATAGCCCAAACTGATTTTCAACTCATGATCTTTCTGCCTCAGCCTCCTGAGTACTGGTATTACAGGTGTGCACCACCACACCCAGGTAGGAAATCTTATTTTTAAAGGAGCTGCCCTTGTTAACATTCATTCAGCAACACTGCACATCTGCTGTCCATGTGTCCACCATGACATGGTCCAGTGAAGAATGCAAGGAACACTTCCAGGCCAGGAACAGGGAGAAAGGAGGCAGCCCACTGACAGGGAGGAAGGGTGGGGCTCGAAGGACAGGAGGCCTTTGTAGCGCAGGGGCCAGCTGTGTGGAGGAGTGAAGGCTCTGGGCTGGGAGGTGTAGGACAGGGGAGCTGGAGAGCAGCTCTGGAGACAGCTGTGTCTCAACCAAGGCCCAGAAATGAAGCAGAGGTGACGGTCACTGGGGCCGGGGAATCGAGGACTCTGAGCCTCGGGTACTGGTACTGGGTCAGTCATCCACGTACACACCCTGCCAAGATAAAGAGCAGGAGCTGTGGCAGAGAAGAAAGGAAAGCTGGGTTTAAAAAGTAGCGGATGGCTACAATATCACGCAGCTAATTTAATGGGCGGTGACTGCCACTAAAAAGGTAAGTAACACAGTAGACTGCATGACAGTACAATCTGCGTGTTTTGAGAAAGTTTTCTTTCAGGCGCGCGCACGTGTGTGTGTGTGTGTGTGTGTGTGTGTGTGTGTGTGTGTAAAAATGGTCAAAAGCATGTATTGTTTTAACTGTACTTATCAACTAATCATGTTTAACAGATTCATCATTTTAACTCCATGATAAATCCATAAGATGAGTTGATGCAGTGTGTATGTTTGTATGTATGTATGTATTGATTTATTTGTTATTTGAGACTGGCCCTTGCTGTATTGCTCAGGCTGGTCTTTTTTTTTTTCTGTATTTTTGAGGCAGGGTCTCAATGTGTAGTTCGGGCTGGCTCTGAACTCATTTTGTAGCCTAGGCTGGCCTCAAACTTGCAGCAATCCTCTTTCCTCAACCTCCTGAGTGCTAGGATGACTGGTGTGCACCACCACACCTGGCCCCAGGCTGGCATTGAACTCAGTGTGATCCTCCTGCCTCAGCTTGCCAAGTGCTGGAATTACAGGTGTGTGCCACCATGCTTAGCTTGGTTTAATGTTTTTATTTTTATTTTTATTTTTTTTTTTTTGGTTTTTCTCTGGTACCGGGAACCGAACTCACGGTTTAATGTTTTTAAAGTTGAGAAAATTTATTTAAGTAGGCAAACGTACTCATCTCCTATTGTGTTCTCAAGTTACCTTTCTTTTCCCTGCTCAGAACAGTGTCAAAAGATTTTCACAAGAACAAGTTTACTGTTGGCAAGTGATGAGGAAATTAAGACTCACCTAGTTTTCTCGGAAATTCTAATTACCTGCTTGGAGATTTACAGATAAGCACAGTGGGACTCTTATCCCCAAAGTTTTCTTTCAGCCTGTGAACGGGCTGGAAAAACAGTGACAGAAGCCAAAGGGCAGGTGACAGAGTTAATGGAAAGCTAAGCGTTTTCACCCAGCGCTTTCAGGGTGGCCGGGGACGTGAACTGACAGCCGCACACCATCTGTGTGCATGACCAGTTAGTCCTGTGAGGCGACATCACTCAAAATCGTGTAAAAACAGGTCAAGAGCACAGGGATGACTCCAGCACCTGCATGAGGGTGTCAGACTCCTTGGACTGTCTGCTCTATTTTCGCTATGCTTCATCTCAAGCTGAATTTTTAAAATTATTGGTTATTTCAACCTCAAAAAAAAATTAAGATGTAACTGTTATTTAAAAAAAGAACACAAAATTAGAAGAGAAAAACATCACACTATGTTTCAGGTACTTTGTGGAGGTGTCATTCCACTTCTACGCAAGCGTACATGTGCTGTGTGTGAATGTGTGGGGTCTTCCTGTAAAACGTCGTTCTTCTTATGGATCACAGCCCAGAACTTTTGAAACTTCTACTTGTCACTAGCTCCCACTGTGTGTCCTGAGCTTCTGACACCGCTCCCGTGAAAGGCTAGGAAAAGCTCGGGGAAGGGTCTTCACCTCAGAGCGGCACATAACTGGAACAAGAGCAGCTGAAGCGGTGGGCCTTGTCCTGAGGCTCCCGTCACTGGGGTGTGGTTTGTCCCCACTAGGTTCACATGCACCAGTTGTGGTGCAGCTATGCTGAGAGGTTTTGGAACCTTGAAGAACAAGGGCCTATCTGAATGCGGAGGCACATGCCTGCAATCCCAGCTCTCTGGGAGGCTGAGGTGGGAGAACATTTTCTTAGTGATAACCACTTTGAACATTTCTAGCTGTTCCCTAATGTTTGAAGCATTTTTGACTTTTGCTTTTAAAAAACAAGATGGCCTTATATAGCCCCCTAAGTCCTTTCCAGGGGGTCCCCACCATCCTACCAAAGCATTCCTCCACCTGCTGAGAGACCTGCCGCTCACCCGCCAGGCCTCCTCTCCTCCTGTCCTTATGTCTTCCTTAAAAATACACATAGTACAAGCAGCAAAAAGCATTCAACATCCCTGCGCATTTGAGAGATGCAAATTAAAACAACACTGAGATTCCATCTCACCCCACAAAGAATGGCTATCATCAAGAAATCAACCAACAACAAATGCTGGTGGAGCTGTGGGGAAAAAAGAACTCTTCTCCACTGCTGGTGGGACTGTAGACTGGTGCAACCACTGTGGAAATCAGTGTGGAGATTCCTTAAAAAAAGAGGACTAGAGGTTCCGTTTGACCCAGGCATTCCCCTCGTGGGTATCTTCCTGAAAGAATTAAAAGCATCATACCACAGTGATATATGCACACCTATGTGTATAGTGGCACATTTTGTAATAGCCAAATCTTAGAAATGACTCAAGTGTCCATCAACTGGTGAATGGATAAAGAAGATGTGGGTTTTTATACAATGGAGTACTACTCTGCCATAAAGAAGGACACACTGAAGACATTTCTAGGAAAATGCATGCACCTGAGTCCATACTCTTGAGCAAAATAAATCAGACACGTGTGTAAATGCCACATTGCTTCTCTGAGAAAACAAAAGTGTAAATAAGGACCAAAAATATGTAATAGATATTGGGAAACAGGAAGAAAATATTGAAATGGGGAAGGGAGCAAGGGAGAGGGGAGTGGGAAAGGAAAGAAGGGAAAAGTAAGAAAAACGAGAAAAGATGGAAAAGATGGAAAGAAAACAAGCTTTTGTAAATGGGGAGGGGAGAAGGGGTTGAAGGGAGGGTCGGGGAGGGGAAAACAAGTCATGTGCAGGTACAAATCTTCCATGATGAATGTGATCATTATGTACACCTAAAATGTACCAATAAAATCTGATTGGAAAAGATAAGTATAGCGCAAGGCAGGGGAACGTGGGAAACGGGACCCAAACTCCAACACATTGGGCTATTGCGGGTTCAACTAAAACTAAGTAATAACAAGCTGGGGGAGGGGCGGAAAGTCGGGGTAGAGACCGTGTCCTCCCCTGGGCATCGCGGCCCTGTGGCTTCTGGGACATCACAGTCCCAGGATGCAGGAGAACCAGAAGCAAAGTGAGTTAGCTCCAGCTTCCGCTGTCTGTGCAGCCTTCCGATCAAATCCTGTCACCTTGGGCTGTGCAAGCCCTGTTCACATCATTTTCTTTATGCCTAAGATTTTTAATAAGACATGTTGCTTTTTGATATGAATCTATCATAAACTGCACTTTTGGTCCTGTAATCTGAACTTTTAGGCTCAGTAATTTTTAATTATATGTGTGTGTGAGTTTCATCTGTATGTTTTACACATATTTATATATAAATAGAATTAACTTATAATCATGAAATCTGTAAATCCTTAGTAATGTCTTAAGAGTAAGATTATATATTCCTATTCAATACATTACATATGTACACTGTATTATAGATTATATAATGTAGGCTGCATAGTAAACTGTGATGGAAATACCAATAATATTTACAAAGGCAAAAGAGACAAAATGACCCATCTGGTTATCCTGGCTCGTGTCACCGTTTTGAAACACTTACCTGTGTAGAGAAAGGTGTTGGTGTGTCCTCCCACCACGACGTCCACACCCCTCACTTTCTGCGCGATGAGTTTGTCCATCTCAAACCCAGAGTGTCCCAGGGCAATAATTTTGTTCACATTTAGAGTTTTTAGTTTGTCTACTTCAGGTTGCAGTGCAGTGATTTCATCTTCAAATACTAAATTTGTTCCTAAGAAACAACATACACAAAAAATAAACGAGATAAATAAAAATTACTAATAATTTTTTATTATTCTGTATATTATACATATTAATATATCAAGAATAAACAACTTATTAAAGCTATTTAATTACTAAGATCAAACACTTATAATTAAGTATAAAACCTCTAGGAAGCCAATAAAAATTCAAATAAATATCTTTAGTCACATTCACTTGAAGTTGTACTAGTTTAAAGTTATAGATATTTTACTTTAACTCAATATAAAACTATGAGGAGACTTCAGATGTGGCTTGATTTTTTTGTGGCTTCCGTTGTTGTTAAGACACAGAAACAGTTCTTTATTGTACATTGCATAAATAACTCTGTGTGCTGGTTCCAGGTGCAGCGTACAGAATATTGAATTAAGAAAAGAGGAAACTGAGAAAGAACGGGAAACCTCTTGAGGTCCAAAGTTGCAAACCAAGAAAAGAGAAAAATGGTAGAAGATTCCTCGTGAGAGAGGCATTTTTGCAAATACCATGCAAAATAGGCTTAAGAGAGTCCCTGTAAATAACAGCGAAGACACTCCATGCATTCCTTCAGGCAGACTCAGAGCACGAGGAAAAGAAAAGAAACTAAAATAACCTTTGTCATTTCAAGATAGTTGGCCCTCTTGTGTATACACTGCTTCACAGTCCATTAAAGAGAATAAACTGACACAATATTAGAGACAGAAGCAGGCCGCTCACACAACAGACTGCAGAAGAAGGTTAGAAAAACTCAGGCATTTTCTTCTTTGTTTTTTGTGTTGTTTTCCCTGACATTTAAAATGTGCCCATTTGCGTTAATGTGGGCAGACAGCTTGCAGCAGCAAGGAAGCACAGGCCTTACAACACATTTTAAGATAAAGCTGATCCTTTCCACGTTCTGTTCCTAGAAAAGTTACCTTCTTGTTTTAAACATGTTCCTAATAATGTCAGAAGATGAGTAAAATAAAACAGAATCAATCTGTTTTTGGTACCAGGACCTCATGATCTCGCATTTGCCAGGCAGGCGCTGTGCTGCTGAGCTATAGCCCTGGCCCCTAACACAGGATCTACAGAGCTCCTTTGCTGAGTTTTTTTGTATATCCAAGGGTAACAACAACTGGACAGCTTTTCACGTCCAAGTTCACGGAACCCTTTCTGCAAGATTAAATAACATAAACACTGGGAGCAGCAAAGTCAGGGAAGGGTGCCAACGCCTCAGAACACCCAGTGCTGCCGCTTCATTAAGTGCAAAACCCAGATCTGTAATTGCGCGATATTCACCATACATAAAAAGAAATAGATATCAATTTTGACCAAGAGTTGTGACAGAGACTTCTTTTTTTGAGTGTGTATATAGTGGCTTTTAACAGTTTTTTATTTTATGTATTTAAAAATTTTTTCTTTTTGCAAAGGAGCCCAAAGTCTACTTCTCCTCCTCCTCCTCCGCCTTCCCTCCCCTTCCCCTCCCCCACCTTCGCCTCCCCCATTTTTCCTCTCCCTCCCCCCCCCGCCTCCCTGTCTCCTGGCCTTATACAAGATACAAGCTGTTGATTTCATTGTGGGTAGCAAGCTAGTAATAAATTCCAAAGTGCTTTCTCTTTTTCATGCTCTTTGCCAATGAGGGTCTCTTTCTTTTTTAACTCTTGGTCTTTGGGGGAGTTGGATACCAGGTGGTGCCTTGTGGATCATATTTTTCAGCTTGACATCAATCCTATCATACTCAGCAACCTGCCTGCTCTGGCCTATCTGGCCCAGCTTGGTTGGCCCCCTGTTCTGCCCAGCGCCAAAGAAGATGCCCTGCAGGTGGCAGAAGATCAGGCCTTCACCATGGTCCCGTTGGGCAGCACCTCCTCCGCCTGCGGCCCCACCCACTGTGGAGGACAGAGTCAGCAGTGCCGGGGCTGCAGGGAAGGAGGAGCCTGGGAAGGGGCAGGGGACACCAGGAGGGCAGGGGCCAGCACCTGCGGATGCGCTGCACTCCAGCTCGCGCTCCTCCAGAGAAGAGAGCACCACTATGGCTTGTTTTTAAGTTTCTTTATATTTTGACTTTCACAGTATCAATGTGGAAAATGCCTGAGCATATAAACATGATATATGAAGGAATATTAGTAATTCCAAGGCTTTGTTTGGAAACATGAGATCATTAGCCTGCAAACCTAGCAATACCAGCAAGGAGCACTTGAATGCCAATTGTAACATGGCAGTTGGTAACTTTGTGTATTAGCCAGCTTTTGCATGCCTGAGACAAAGTACCTGACACCTACAACTTAAACGGGAGGTTTATTTGGCTCAGTTTCCAGGGGGTTCAGTTCGTGGTGAGCCATGGTGGAAGGGCAAGGCTGAGGAAAACTGCTCACCTCATGGGAGCAAGGAAGCAGGAAGAGTAGGAACAAGAGCACACACTTCCAGGCCATCTCCCTAGGGATCCACCTCTTCCAACCAAGCCCAGCCCCTGAATACAGGAGACTTCTAGGGGACATTTTAGATCTCAAATGTAAGGCTCTGCTTGGTTTGCAGATAATGTTGCATTGAGCTCTGCATCTAACCCTTGCTGGCACTGGAAGTGCGCAGGCTCTTCACCGGCTGTCTGCCCCCAGATTAGTGGTAATCTTTGGTTACTTGTTGGTATTCACTGGCAAGCGTGGGTCCAGCGACCCAGCCAGACATTCTGCATGGCCAGCTGCTCCCTGTCTCTGCAGCCAAACTGCAGGAAACTTGAGATTTTGTGAGTTTCACTGGCATGCAGATGATTGCCAGTACAGAAGCACGCTGCTCTGAGGCAATCACTGTGCTATGAGGCAATCTCCATTTAATTCCAGACTCCCTCATGCTAATTTCTAAGAACCAGTCCCAAAATGAAAATGTTGAAATATGAGCAATAGCTCATCAACAACTTTCAAAACATAAGAATCTGCAAATTCCAGTTTGAAAAGTACAGATATCTGCATAAAACAACAAGACTTAAAAACTTGTCCCTTGCTATACTGTGATGTCAGGAGTCTGTGTGTGCTTTGCTGGGACATCTCTTGAGTCCTAGCTCCAGATGTGAACTCCACATGTAAGAATCATCATAGGAGATAAATCACACAGCCGACCTCACGGCAGAGGGGGGTTCCACACTCACCACCTGCAAATCAGTGCCACATAGATGGGTTAAGCTGCAGGAGCTTTGCCACCATGGTCTATCAGGAGAACTTCAAGGGTAATCTGCTTCTTGTTGCTCATCCCAAGAAGCCCCAGGCCTTGCGCCAGCCTAACTGCCAAGTTTCCTTTGCAATAAGTCTTTCCCTGAGCATCCCTCTATATTTTCTAATTACATTTTTGTTGTATTGGTACACACTGGCAGTACATGATCCCATTCACTGTGCAGAGTTGGTCCATGCACAGAGCGCCTCTGCGTTCTTTTCTCACCCCTTTCCACTCCCCAGCTCCTCCTCCCTATGTTGCTTGGTCTCCCTCCCTTTTGCCAAAGATCTGTCTTCCTACTACTTCCTGTCTTGCATTTATATTTTGGGTTTCTCATATAAGAAAAACCATTTGATATTTAAGCTTGTGTCTCCAATGGATCCCTCCTCTTGCCACACCTACCCTTAGCCCTGCTGCTTCATCCTTCCCCACTGCGCTCACCTCTTCTGACAAACCACACATTTCACTCTTTTATTTATCCTCTCACTAACCACGTCAGCTCTGGGGGACAAGGACTCTTGGTTGGTATCCCTGGTGCGTAGTACAATGCACAGCACATGGATAAGTGCTCAGGGAATGAATGAGTGCAGAGGGATGTTATCATCCTCTATTTTTGGTGGGCTGGCAAGAAGGAATGAAAATACTCTCAAAAATACCTCTGAGGACAAAAGAGTATATTCTCTTAATACATTAGAAACCTCATAGGGCCGGGTGAGGTGGTGCACTCCTGCAATCTCAGCACTCGGGAGGCTGAGGCAGGAAAATCACCATGAGTTCGAGGCCAGCCTAAACTACACAGTGAGACCCTGTGTCAAAACCAAACAAACAAAAAGAACAAAGAAACACTGGAAACCTCACAAGACTGGGTGCCACACACATAAAAAGCATGAGATGTATTTCAGGATACCACGAGGACACATATCATGGGATTTTCATTACTTAGCTAAATTAGAATAAATGTGCTAGAAATACAAATTATACACTTTAGTGCCCAGGGTATTAGGACTGGAAAAATTGAATTGATTAGGGACCAGAGATCTACAGGAATAGCCAACACCGGTTTTCACTTCAAACTTTAATGCACCAAATTAAACAAAGACACTCTGTGTCAACAAAGAAGTGCCCTGAGCAGAAGAGGTAATGTCTTAAAGAAGAAACTGAGAAAAACACAGACCCCACCAGCCTGGTTCCCTCAGTGTCATCCTACATACACCATTTGTCCAGCTCTTCCTGCTTTTGCTTACAGTCCATCCAAGTAATGCCAAACTCTGACTTAGTGCCTCTAAGTTCAAGTCACAAATACTGTACAAGTAAAAAATACCTGGGTTGGAGAGAAGAGGGGTTTCTTTTGAAGTATATCCAACAATTCCCACAGCTTCACCACCAACAGTAAGAATTTTATATGGCAAATAAAGTCCTGATATTTGAGATGCTAGTGGTCCCTTTGCCTTAATGTTTGCACTCAGAACTGGGAAACTTGCTTTTTTGAGGAATGGATCGATCAGTCCTTCTACACCATTATCAAATTCATGGTTTCCCAGTGCCTAGGTAAAAGGAAAAAGAAAAAAGAATTAGGTACTCTGGAATTTCCAACAGAAGTGTCCTTCGAACAACATTTTATTAGGTCAGGGATTCACTAAATTGCCTAAGCTCTATGAGATAGGTCTCATGGCCTGGTGTCTTTCCCATCTCCAGAGATTTTACGCCAGGACCTGGGCTGGAGCCAGGGACATCAAGACCATAGGTGGATTATCATCATCCCAGGTTTCAGTTACTAAGTGCAGCCACCATCGCCAAGCCCAAGGGTCACTGGGGAGCTTCTCAGTCCTGCCCCACTATCCCCAGCTTGGAGGCCAGCTCCAGAGACCACCTTTATCGCCTCAGCCTTTTCATCCTCTGTTTTCTCCCATGAACTTACATTTTATACCTAATCATTGAATCCCCATCTTCTTGGGAGAACTGTTAAAATCATCAGGACTTTGACAAAAGGCAACCTGAATGTATCGTCAGCAGAGACCAGAGGTCTCCTTCCTCACTGCATCTCTTGGTCATTATTCCCTAGATTCCCAGGATTATTTCGTGTCAAGGACTCTTAGGGTCTTTTCATTCTTTTGGGAAAATAAAGAAGGGGAAAAAGGAGCCAGTGTGCCCACATTTTGCAGGATAGTCCTGGCGTTTTCCTTCAGTCAGGGCCACTCCTCGCTTCTCTCAAGAGGAAGAACCTCATGGTGAAATGATGGTACCACCTTCAGCAGCTTCTGGATCAACTCTGAGTGCAGGGCTCGCGCGGACAGCCAGTTGTCTTCGGGATGACCCGCCCCCCGGAAGTCATAAACACGAGATGCTGGCTGATTCCCCAGAAAACCTTCCATCCTTCCTCCATTGTCTCCTGGACACACCTCCCTCCTCCAAGCACTGACGACCTGTTCTGGCTGTCCAGACTGTTTTGCTTATTCAGTACTTCTACCAGTGAGCCTCAGACTTCCTAAATCAATACCACATCCAGATTTGTTTCACTTTGTGAGTCATCTGGGGCAGACTGGAGCACTGGCTGGTGACCCCTTAACTCAGCGAGGGCCACAGTGTACCCCTTTAGCCTCGGTCCCTCCTTCCTAGAACGCCCCCCACACTGTCATGACGCATGTACAAGGTTATTCGTGTGTTTTCTCCTGGCAAGCCTGGGCACTTCTGACCGCCATGTCCTGCCCCCTTTCCCTCTCAGCAGCCACGGAGCACCCGTGACCAGGGCTGCGGCGATGTCCTCAGACACCCGTGCTCAAGCAGAGACCGCCGCACAGCGCCGGCACAGCCCACACTCCCGTCTCCCCACTCGGTTTGCATTTGCTGAACTTGTCTTTCTCCCCACTTTCACTTCTCTCCCTTACTCATTAAATTCCTCCTTAAAAGCCGATCCTCTCTGAAAGGGCTCCCAGTCCTTTGTTTTCTTCCTATTTTAGAACAGCAAGGTTTCTTGCTACAGTAAAACAAGTCTCCTTTTTGATATTACAGTAACTATCTTGCTTAACTCAAAGTTCTTTTGTTTTAATGAATGTTCCCACAGTTCTGCATAAATGATTATCCAGTTTGTGATAAACATTCTAGTCCCAGTACTTGGCAACAGCAGAAGTTAGACTTTCCTCTACTTGTTGTTTCACGTCTTCCCCCTTCTCTACCTCAACTTGAATACAGCGGTGCCTCGGTCCACGAACTTAATTCTTTGTGTGTGTGTGTGTGTGTGTGGTGCTGGGGACAAACCCAGGATCTTGTGCATGCAAGGCAAGAGCTCTACCACTGAGCCACATCCCACGAGCTTAATTCTTTCCGTGACTCTGGTCACAAACCGAGTTGGAAGAGAACTGATTCAAATTCAATGGTTAGGTTCAATGTTGACCTTATGGGGAATTTGATGTGGTTCTCATCCAGTTCGGTTTGAACCAGAATCATGGAAAGAATTATGTTTGTGAACCAAGGTGCCATTTTGACTGTTTTAACCTCTTTATTCTCATGGGGAAAGGAGCTCTCACCTGCGGTACTCAATGCTGTGGACAGACTGACTAAACGATCTCATTCACACTCACACCTTTAACTCCAGATTGAAATTCCAGCCGGGCATTTCCACTGACCTCTGCCTCGGTCTGTCAGCTCCCCTGCTCATTTTCCCTCAGAGGCTGCAGGACATCCCACACTTACCGTGCCCTAAGCTCTTTCCTCAGTGATTTGCCCTCTGGAGCCACAGTGCCACCACGTTCTCAGTAAGGCTGGAAACCCTCGAGCGCCTGAATCCTCCCACCCTTGCCTCCCTGTCCACCAGCACTGCTCCCCCTCCCCCAGATGCCCCATATTCTGTCCATCCTCCTGCTACTCCCTCATCGTGGGGGAGGCCTTCCCTCTTGGATGATTACAATGGCTTCCAAATGGGCCTTAGAAGATCCCCATTCCCTGCCCAAAGCCATTGTCTATGTTGCCACCAGATTAATTTTTCTATTATACAAATCTGGCTTTGTCCTTCTCCACTGAAATGTCCTAGAGAGGCACTGCTTTCTTGATCAAATCCAGCATCCTATGTAGGGCCCACAAGGCTCTTTGAGGTAGGGCTCACCTCCAGCCTCCTTCCTGACACCGACCCCACGGGCATGCAGCTACGAGGCTGGACCACCTATGAGAGGTGCCCTGGAGCACATTTCTACACTTCCCTTTGACATGTCAGTGGATGGATAATCCAAAGTGATAATTAAAATAAGACAGGATTTACTAAGTACTTGCTGCACGCCAGCACTGCGAAAGGTGATTTGGCGGGGGATGGACTTCCATGTACAGCACTTGCCAAGCATGCACAAGGCCCTTGTGTAGGAAAAAAAAGTCCCCAGCACAGAAAAAAAAAAAAGATTTTGTACAGAAAATCTGGTTTTGCACTACTCTCAGTATTGTGCTTATTACTATGCTCATTTTACAGGTGAAAATGATGAAAGGTACAGAAATGAAGGGATTGTTGAAAGCCGCAACACCAGCAAGTAGTGGAGACAGACTAGAACCACTTCTGTTAGACGCCAGGTTCTTAACCTCTATGCTTGGTTGTAGAGAAATTTGCACATGGCCTAACCAATAAGCAATCATAAAAACAATTCTAACTGCTCGCAGATTTCCGTGCTCTCACGCATCTTTGTTCCTGTGTGTATGACATATAAATAACGCAGAGACAGAACAGGATAGTGTTTCTTCAGGTCATGCTTTTAATTCCTTACGCAACGAAAGGCTTTGGCTCCTGAGATGTGGTGATCATTCTAGGAATGACCAAGGACACTCCACAGGGCTCCCTGTCTGAGTCAGGCACCCTTCCTCTCAGATGGGCTCTCCCCCGCTACTGTGTGCTCACCCCTTTCTGATGCGCAGCAGTCCCTCAAGCACAGCAGAGTACAGTATGGAACAGATAAATGAAGAGAAAAATCACTGACCAGTAGCTTTCCTTTCTCCACAAACAGCTAACTTTCCCACAAAAATTAATGCCAAAAATTTCCCTCGTAATATTGATTTTCTGGAGACATTCACATTTTCGTTTCCCCAATTTGCCTTTGTCCTGCCTGCTTTTTTCTCCAGCACTTATTGGAATGTAATGATTCCTCAGTGCTCGGGAAGGAGGGCGCTGCCACTCACCTCAGGGCACCTGCTGCCCCGCACCGCTGCAACACAGCAGCACTCACGGACTGTGCTAAACAGAGGGATATTGTTTATCCTCTTAACATGAAAGTGTCTCGGGAAAAGACTGCCCAGAAGAAGAACAGGGAGTAATAAAAGATCAAACAACAAAAGAGAGCAGACAGGAAGGGATTTGTCCAGTGCCCATAAGGATACCAAAATCTCTTGTGTCAAATTCTCACATAAAATGGGGAGGTACTTGCATGTAAAGTGTATATCCTCCTGTACACTTTCAATCATCTCTAGATTATTTATATTATCTAAGACAATGTAAATGATACATACTAGTTACTATAACATGTAGTGTAAGGAATAATGCCAAGAAAAATGTCTGTGCCAGGCATGGTGGGATATGCTTGTAGTCCCAGCTCCTTGAGAGGCTGAGCAGGAGTTCAGGGCCAGCTTAACAAATGAGGGAGACCTAATTTTGAAATAAAATATAATTTTTAAAACGGCTGAAGATGTAGCTCAATGGTAGAGCTACAGTATGTACAGACTCTGGATTCAATTGCCAATATGAAAGAGAAAGGAAAGAAGGAAGGAAAAAAAAAAAAAAGAATATATCAGTACAAACACATTTGTTTACAAATAACTCTGATACACTGTCAGCTGAATCTATGAATTTGGAACCCACACTAGAAAGGTACAGTGAGAACTGTCCCCTGAACCCTCGCTAAAGTAACTTTATCTGGTAGTGAGCTCTGTGTAGCTGCCCAGGAGCTCCCACAGGCGCTGAGGCTGTGTGCCAGACTCTAGCACAATGGGTCAGCTGCCACCGCGGCCAGTCAGAGCCGGACGGGTGCAGTTTCCTAATAAGGATGTGATGTGAGCAGGGTACACAACTTTTCCCAAGCACCTTTCTTGCTTTGGGGCCGTGCTTGCTGTTTTAGTTACAGCCCTACAGTCAGTAGCTTAGCGAAAGGGTGTGCTGATTAGGTAGCGCTGCGATCATCCAGCTCTGTGAGTGACCCCTAGTAAACTCATGTACTTGCCAACTGGGACTTGCCTGAGTTGCTTTTTGGACTATTGGGCTCCCTATCAATTTGGAGCCGGATGTTTCTATTCCATCCTCTGGGAAATGTACACAACGTTTGGGAGCTGAGCAGGGATCTGATAAGTCCAAAGATGAGTCAGGGAAGAGAACTCCTGGGGGAAGTCCTGTGGGGCTTCCTCCTCCGTGTGGTGTGAGGTGACATGTCTCCTCCATGAACGTGGTCAACAGTGTGCATCCGGGGTGCCCAGAGAACGCCTAGTGGACTGGAGAGCACTCTGCAGCCCCTGAGGGTGGTCCTCGTGGGAGGGGACTGCAGCAGATTGGTAGCCGCTGTACACTGCCCTTGTTGGGGCAAGA